AAGGCCCCTGCGGGGACACGGGGCTGCAGGCCATGCGGACCGACGGCCACCTGGCTTCCCCCCCCGCCCGCCCCGCCCCCTCCACCTGTCTCTGTAACAAGCCTGTAGACACGATGGTCAGGCACCTGCCACCCTGCTATTTTGCTGGCCGTGTGCCCCGCATTGGGCGGCCAGTCAAGTTCTGGCAGCATTTTCGGGGGCCTACAGCAGCCAGAGCCTCAGTTTCCTCGTCTGTAAAACGCGGTTTCTGACGGGGCCTGCCTCAGTGGGTGTCGTGAAGCATGTTTGGCGTGGGGCCCGGCACTGTGTTCCCTTGACATCGACAGTTACTACGACTGGCCTGGGGGCATTTTCCCCTCTCATGGCAGGAGTCTGGGACGCCCAGCCAGCCTCCTGGGGCCTAGCTCAGGGGTGATGCAAGGTCTCAGCACAGACAGAGGGGCGTGGCTGATGCACAGCCCGGGCCTTACGAGGTCGGCTGAGTGGCTCCAGGGAAGGGGGTCCCGCCCCTCCCCCTCTCTCCCTCCACTCCAGCCACAGAGGCCTGCTCCTACCTCAGGGCCTTTGCACTGGCTGTTCCTCTGTCATACCCCGCCCTATACACCTGCAGAGCTCATGCCCTCACCTCGCAGGGCTGTGCTCCCTGTCTCCGTGAGGCCTGCCCTGACACCCTGATTAAAACTTCAGCCCCCTTCTCATCCTCCCTCTCCTCTGCTATAGTTTTCTTCACAACCCTTCTCATCTAGGACGCCATTTATTTATCTTGCTTATTTGTGTCTTCTTCACTAGAAAGTCAGCTCCAGGAGGGCGGAGGTTTCGTCCACTGTGCTCACTGCCGTGTCCCTGGCAGAGGGCCCGGCACGCGGTGGGCGGCTCCACAAACTCGTGGAACGAAGGAAGGAAGGAGTAAGTGAACGGAACGGTAAACGAAATGCCCGCCACGGAGGCATCCCAGACACGCCCAGGAATCCACGTGTTGTCACCACCGCGCCAGCTGTGAGGGCGACTGTTCCCCACCACACCGCCCTCCGCGCGAGTGCCGAGCTGAGGCGTCATCTCCTTCCGTCCTCACAGCAGACTAGGAGTTGATACTGCCTGTGACGGTCAGTGTGATGTGTCCACCTGCTGGGCTACAGCACCCCGTTATTCAACAACACACTGATCTAGGGGTTGCTGTGAAGGGATTCCATAGACGGGTCAACATCTACAATCAACCAACATTAAGTAAAGGAGACTAGTCTTAATAATGTGGGTGGGCCGCATATAATCAGTTGAAGGTCTTCAGAACAAAACTGAGGAAGAAGAAATTTTGCCCCAAGGCTGGAGCCCTGACTTCTACCTGAGGGTTTCCAGCCTGCTGGCCGGCTCGACCAGTTCAGATTTGCCAGCCCCCTCTGTGTGAGCTACGTCCTTGAACTACATGTCTTCATTCATTAAACTGAAAACCTACTGGCTGTGTTTCTCTGAAGAACCCTGACTAATACATCACCATTAGCCCTATTTTCCAGATGGGGAAACTGAGGCTCAGAGAGCTGATGGGAACTGCCCAGGGCTGGCCCCTGAGCTGCTGAGGTGGAGCTCAAACCCAGGCCCGCGTGTGCATGCATCTCCAGTCTGCATCGGGATTCCCCATGGGTCACAGGCCGGAGCGACCCTCTGGTTCTGCCTCCCCGGTCCCACCTCCCCGCCAGGTGAGCTGCTCACTTTTGCTTCTCCGCCTCATTTCTCTGCAGCAAAGTTTCTGTCAGGAGGGCCTTGCTGGGAATGCCCGGGAGGCGGCTCCCCTCGGTCAGCGTGGGCCCGGCCGGAGACGTCCCCTCTCTCTGCTCTAGAAGGAGAAACAGCAGGGACCACACATCACCCGTCACTGACAGCGGGTGACAGCCAGAGCTGTGCTCTGCAAGCCCGACGGGTCTACGGGTCGTGCTGGCACAGAATCCACTTCCCAAGCTCGGGTGCTGAGGGAGCGAGGCTGTCCAGGCCACTGTCCCCACGGTCATGGGCTTGCAGTGTGGCGAGCGAGCACCGGCATCCGAAAGTCAAGTTCCCGGGCCCAGAGGCTGCCTCTGCCCCCTCAGACCGTCCCTGCCTCCCCAGCCTTCTAGCTACTTTTTAAAAGTCGTGGTAACATATACATCACGTGAAATTCACCAGTTTATTTCAAAGTGTACAATTCAGTGACATTTATTATATTCATGATATTACACAACCATGACCACTAATTCCAGAACGCTGTCACCACCCTAAAAGGAAACGTGTCCCCAGTAAATGGCCACCCCGCTAAGTCCCCGGCCCCCCACAACCAGCAATCTGCTTTCCGTCCATGCATTTGCGGACTCTGGAGATTTCACATCACTGGAATCACCATACACGTCCTCCTGTGCCCGGCTTCTCTCCCTCGCATGCTGTTCTCGAGGTTCACCCAGTTGTCACGTGTGTCAGATCTTCATTCCTTTTCACGGCTGAATAATATTCCATTGCACGGATGTGCCCCCTTTTGCTTTTTGTTCATTGTTGACGGGCAGTGGACTGGTCCCACCGTCGGGCTGTTGCTGCCAGAGCACCTGTCTTCCACTCTTTGCAGGGCAGCCCTGGGAGTGGAACTGCTGGGTCACTGGGTAGCTCAGGTTTGACTTACTGAGGACCCAGCACACCATTCCCCCCGGCAGACGGCACACACGTGGAGCTGACCCCGGGTCTGCCCCTGCAGGCTTGGTGGCAGCTCATCCCACAGAGAGGGCAGCGTGGGTCCTCAGCACCCAAGTTGCCAGGGGAGACAGGTGCTCAGTGGCCAGCCGCCCAGGGCAGGTGCTCTCGACCCTGGGCCGAGGGACGCAGCTAAGTCCTGTGCTGGTTATCAAGCTCCGACTGTGGGTCTGGCACGGAGGGCGAGGGCAGAGCTGGGGTCTGCAGAGTGAGCCCCTCAAGGAGATGACACAGCGGCCAGGGCCTGGCTCATTCTTACACACGCACACACCTGCACACACGGGCATGCACGGGGCATGTTTCAGGTGCTGAGGCCACAGCCGTGAACGAAAAGATGAGGTCTGACCATCCTGATGCAGTGACAAGCGTCCTCAGGAGAGATGCAGCGCAGGCTAGAGCTCAAGGGCCTTGGTCTGAATCCCCGCTGGTCCACCTGCTGCCTCGGACTAAGTTTCCCCTTCTGTAAAGTGGGGCCAGTGACACCTTGGAAGGTGGATGCCAGGAGACAGTGGGATCCGTGTGAAAGGCCCACGGCACAGAGCAGACGCTCTTGGGAGGCAGTTTCCACAATGGCTCCTGCGCTTCCAGAGGGGCGTTCAAACCCCGGCGGGCCCTCCGAGGAAGGACGTGCTGGGGAGCCTGGCAGGCCTCACAGAGGTGCCCACATATGAGCTGAGGCTGGATAACTGCCCGGTCCTGCTTGTCAGGGGGGACGGCTGGAAGGGCACTCCGGGTGCAGGAACAGAGCTGGCAAAGTGCCGTGTTTTAGTCCCCGTAAGTCTTCCCCAGAAGACTCTGCCCAGGGCCAGGCATACAGGAGGTGCTCACTAGGCACAGAGCGGGAAGGGAGAGCTGTGAAATGGAGCGTGAGAGAGTGGACATTTCCCGAGAAGCGACTTCATCCCAAGCTCTCATTTGACAGGCCCCTGCCCATTTCATCTTCCCACAGGCCACACCCGGCCCACCACTTGTTTTGTAAATAAAGTTTTATTGGCACACAGCCACGCCCACTCATTTGCATATTCTCCACAGCTGCTTTCACACAGAGCTGAGCAGTTTGGACAGAGACCCACGGCCTGCTGAAGCCTGAAATATTTACTCCCTGGCCCTTTACAGAGAAAAGGTAGCCTTGCTGGTCTCTGAGGGGAATCCTACTCCGTCACCCCTTAGACACCGTCCCTACACCTGACTCTTCCCCTCTCTGCTTCATTTTTTTAGCCACCATGCTGAATTTTGTTCACCATTCTCTTGCTTTTAATCGTTTTTAACACAGTACGTGTACATCTTACACCATATTTTTAGCTCTGCCGGTTTCTTAACTTGTCTTCTCCGGTGCTGAGATCCTGTTTCCCCGTCCTCCAAGGCAGACGGCAGGACTACATTTCCCAGCCTCCTTTGCGGCAGGGTGTGGCCACGTGACTAGGTTTTGGCCAATGGGATGTGGCCGGAAGTGAGCGTGTCCCCCTCCAAGCTTGGCCCCATCAGCCTGGGTGTGGCCCTCCATCTTTCTCTGCCTGGTCGCCCGTTGTCAGCGTTCACGGTGACTCCGGACGCCACGTGTTGGAGGTGGCAGGACCTCCGCAGCCTGGGTCCCCAAGTGGCTGTGTGGTGCATCCTCTGCAACTTCCCCGCCCTTCAAAGATACGGCTCTGAGTTGTGGGGTTGGTCTGTTTCAGCAGCCGAGGACCCGAACCCATCCCGCATCCAAAACCATAAAGCCCAGTTCCCGTCCCCCCACCGCCCCCAGCGAGGCTGAGTTTGGTGCTGAAGAGCCACAGCCCGTGCTTATTAGGGACGCCCCGAGAAGGCCTGATGACTACCTTTGGGGCCGAGGAGCTCGGGGTGCCTCTTCCACGAAGCGTGGAGGTCTCGCCGCGGCTGCCCGCTGGGGTCGAAGCTGGGGGGCTGCAGTCTGTCGTCTAGGCTGCGCGTCCCCTCAAACACAGGCACAGGGTCTGCAGAGAGAGAGGGAGGAGGACAGTGGTGGGGGTGGCCCTGGGGGCCGGGGACACCCAGGCTGAGGCCGTGGGGTCTCGTGGGTCCCTCCCCGGGAAGCTGGGGTCGAGGGACCATCCACCGGAGCCACCTGGAGCCTCTCTGATGGCCAGGGCGAGCAATGGGGACTTCCCGCTTTAGAGGGGGCAGCCCTCTTCAGGCCGCTGCTCAGGGGAGCGTGTGCCTCCCCAGGGGGTGGGTGTCCTGCTCAGCTGCGAATAATAACAATAACCATAACTGACATAATAACTGCATCTTCTGGGTTCTGCGATGCCATCTGTGGCAGCCCTGAGATGGTGTCTTGCACGCCTCCAACCACGGGGAGCGTCGCTGAGCAAGGACCCAGCTGTGACTCTGACATCCATCAGTCTGGGGCCAGCCGTCCCACGGGCTTTCCCAGACAAGGCCTGCAGAAAGCGGGATAAAGGCAGACCTGCTCCAGGGGACACAGGGCTGCCCCGAGGGCCGAGGACGCCCCCAAGGTCTCCCAGCGCTTCCTGAGGCTGTACGCAGTCTGGATGCTTCCACCCAGCTCCCCGCCTCTCCCAGCTCTCTCCCTCCTCCCTTGCCTGCGCTCCCCCCAACAGCATCCTTGCACATGTGATTCTCGGGGGGCTTCTCAATGGACCTGGACCAACATGCCATCATTTGTGACACACATGGCCGGTTAAATAACGGCTTTTCCGGAAATACACACCCGGATATAAGATCCCTGCCAGTTTCCCAAGGGCTAGAAGGTGAGGAAGATGCAGGTCCTTCCGCCTGGAATTTGTCCCCCCCTGCCCCGGCTGTCACCCAGCGAGCACCTTCTGTTCCTTCAGGTCTAGAGCCCAGCACCTCTTCCTCCAGGTGGCTCCCGTCCCCCCCAGGGCAGGTACGAACAGCTCCTGCCAGAGCACGGGGTGGCATCGCCCAGGCTCCAAGCCCATCCATGGAAATGGGTCCCCCTGATGCCCCCAGCATCCCTGGAGGCTGGCTTGGATCCAATTCGTTTTCACAGATGAGGAAACTGAGGCTCAGAGGAGCCAGGTGACCTGCTGACGGGTGGAGGTGAGACTCGAGTCTGGGTCTCTTTCTCTGATGCCACGAAGGCTTCTGGTCAACGTGGGGTCGGCATTTCAACGCCAGCAGCCACCAGTGGGTGTTTATGGGGTCCCCAGAAAGCTGGGGCCTCCTGGCTCCAGACCAAGGGGCCTGGGTCTGGCCCACAGTCCTTTCAGCTGCACTGAAGGCCTCTCTCTTCCTGGTCCTTCCCCTGGGGTCTCCTGCCAGCATCTGCTTGGCCATGGCTCTCTACTGGGAGGCAGAGGGAGTAAGAGCACGGATCCCGGAGTCAGACATCCCTGGGTCCTGGTCTAATCCATACTTGTTTCTCAGGATTGCTGTGTGACCTTGGCTAACAACCCTACCTCTCTGTGCCTCACCATAAAGGTACAAACCTCTTGGGGCTGTGTGATGAGGATCCATATAAAGTGTTCAACACGGCGCCTGGCACTTGGTCAGCTCAGAACAAGTGGAAGCCCTGGCTATTCCAGCCTTTCTGAGCTCCACTCACACTGGCCACCTTCTCTCAGTCCCTCAAACGCACCTTCCCACCCCAGAGCCTTTGGACAGGCAGCAGCCTCTGCCAGGAACACCCTGCCGCCTCTCCCCCGTTTCAGCTAGTTACTCTTACTTGTCTTTGCAACTCAAATGCCTCTTCTTCCAGGAAGCCTTCCTTGACCAGTCAGTCCTCCGATAGGAGCTCTCCCAGCTGCCTACACCCTTCCTTCACAGCACTCATTGGGCTTAAAATTTTTATTGATTTGCAAGTCCACCTAATTAACACCCACTGGACTGCAAACTCCACAAGGCAGGGCTGGGACTGCATCTGTCTTTGCTCCCTTACTGGACCCCCTGTGGGTGAATGAAGCCTGACACACAGTCCGACCCAATAAACATCTGCTGACAGAAGAAATGTGGCAGTGCCTGTGCACAGGGGCCTTCAGGTCCGGCTGGAACAAGGTTGCCTCTGTGTTTTATCCGTCTCCTCCCGCCTGTTTGTTTAGGTGGCAGGAGGCTCGGACAATGGGCGTCTGTGGGGAGGTAGGCAGGTGCATGAGAAGGCCGCCATCTTCCCTCTGTCAGCACTCCCCCCACGCCTGTCATTAGGCAGGGCCTGCTCAGCGGGGTATGCCATTATGTCTCCCCGGGCTGATGTAATTATACATTGACATAATTAACCCAGCAAGTGCATTAGGCAGGCCAGCTAAAAATTCATCTATAATTATTTGTTGTGTGCATGCTAATGAGTCCATCTGCACTGCCTTTGTACAACACGGACAAATTAATTTACAAGTCTGGATTTTTTAATAAGTTCAAGGAAACGCTTCCTATTGTGTCCTGGCTTTTGAGAAAGGAAGAAAAGGTGACAAGCGCTTGCCGGGGTCAGGGAAGTTAGATAAACACAGGCGGGCGCAGCTCCGAGCCGGCCATGGAGAGTCATGGAGGGCCATGGAGAGCCACGGAAGGCCACGGAGGGTCATTGAGAGCCACGGAGGGTCGTGGAGAGGCGTGGAGAATTGTGGAGGGCTGCAGAGGGGCACAGAGAGTCACAGAGGGCCAGAGAGGGCCACGGAGGGGCACGAAGAGCCATGGAGAATCACGGAGGGCCACAGAGGGCCACGGAGAGCTGCAGAGAGCTCGCTGTGGCTCCAAGCAGGTGGAAAGATCCAGCCGTGGCTCGGGGGCCAGGCTGGCCACACGGCCGTCCACGCCAGAACACTCCCCTCAGGTGATGAAAGGTGTCGCTCACCCCTTCGTTCTTCCCGGAGGCCCTGCGGTCACTCCTGGCTGCCGGGCGCACTCTGTCTGGGGGAAGCTGCCCTGGGGCCCTGGAGAGGCGGGGGACAGGGTTGTGTGGACACTCAGGACCTGTCCAGTGGGTCCCCGGGTTCCGGCCTTTCGCCTCTATTTGCTGTTACAGGGTAGAACACAGTGGTGAAGCTCACAGAACCTGAGGTCCACCTCTGGGTCCAAATCCCATGGGGACTGGAGCCTCAGTTACCCCACTTATAAAGTGGGAAAAGATAACAGTTCCTCCTTCCCAGGAGCGATTACTGAAGAGTGAAAACACATCCGGAGAGCAGCAGCGTGCTTTATGGACCTCTGGACAGTGGTGAACTCTCGGGGCCTCCATGTCTTCATGGATACAAGGGGACCACTGCGTAGGGGTGGTGGCAAGGGCAGGGCGAGAGGATGCATGCAGGTGTGCCCAGGGCTGGCGCACAGTAGGGCTCTTACACCCTGAGAGGGGACAGCAGGCCTGGCTTCTCGGTGCTGTGGTGACGCCCGTGAGTCTGAGGACAGGGCATGGCCCCATACGTTCATCGGTGCCCAGGGACCCAGAACCAATCACCCTGCTGCGAGCTCCATTCTGGGGCCAAAGACTCCAGTGCAGAAAGTCCTGCCGGAGGGACCCATGAGGACAGTCTGCCCAACACCCCGCACCCTATCCCACTGATGGGGAAAAGCGGGGCCCGGGGGCCCCCTGAAGTCTGCCAGCGAACTGGGACGGGGCTCTTCTTCCCACACTGTACTGGGCCTGGCTCCCCAGTTTGAGGGAGCGAGGGGGGGCTTAGGTGACTCAGCCAAAGTCAGGCCATGAGCGAAAACTCACAGCCAAAGCACTGTAAATGGACTCGAATTCATTCAGGCTTCACCACAGCACTGTGAGGTCGGTGCTGCTGTGTTCCCATTTTACAGATGGGGAAACTGAGGCACAGGTGGGGGGTGGAGTCGCTTCCCCAAGGTGAGGCCTGGTAAGGTCGATGCTGCTATCTCCCTTTCCAGACAAGGAAATGGCCCAGAGAGGAGATGCGATGTGCCCAAGGTGACCTAGCTCAGAAGTGAGATTTGAACCCAGGGCCCCAGGAGACCTTTGTAGTGGGCCAAGCTGCCCTGAGGCAGGGCACGGGGAATTTGTTACTATGAGGCCAGAAGCAAGAGACTGAGAGGTCTCTTCTTGGCCTTGCTGCCGGCTTGCTGTGTGACTTTGGACAAAGCACAAGACTTCTCTGGGCTCGAGTTCAAATTCCTATTACAAGCATATCCCTGGCACATGTTCAGACAGCACTGGACATCATCAGAGAGGGGTGGGGTCCTGATGAGGCGAGTGCCTTGTCCCTGGGCCTGTCTCTCAGAGCCAGACACTCAGGGAGGTGATGATTAAACCCCTTCACAGCTGATCCTGACACAAGAGGCACCAACGCTGCAAATCCTCCAAATTTCTGAAGCCACCCTCCGATACAGGGGGCGGGGCCAGGCCAGGAGGCTGAGGGCCATGTCCCGGCTGTGACACCTTCAGGGAGAGCCACTCAGGCCCTGTGAGCCTCAGTGTCCCCGACAGGCAAATGGGGATAACAACAGCGCCTACTGCGCGGGCTGTGTGGGGCTCCGGGAGCAGGCTGCACCCCCACGACAGAGCCGGCACCCCGCCGACTCTTGGAGGCCACTCTGGCCCGGGCTGCTCCCCGCCAAGGACTGAGCACAGCGGCGGGGAGAGCCAGGCCCCTCTGCCGACACCAGGACAGGCAACCCTGTGTCCCAGACTGAACTGTGCCCCCAAGTCCAAGGCGACAACCCAGTGTGACTGAACTTGCTGACACGGCCTCTAAGGAGGTCATTCAGGTCAAATGAGGCCATGAGGGTGGCCCTGATCCGAGAGGATGGTGGCCTTACAAGAAGAGGGGGAGACCCAGAGCCCCCCACATGCGCAGAGACGAGGCCACGGGAGGAGCAGTGGGAGGCTCGTCGGCCAGCCAGGAGCAGGGCTGTCCCCAGACGCTGGGCTGCCGGCCCCTGGCCGCCGACTCCCAGCCTCCAGCCTGGCGAGAAGACGTGTTGCTGTTTAAGGCCCCGCTGTCGGGGTTGTCACAGCAGCCGGAGCAGAGCCTCCCACGCCAGGGCGCCCGTCAGCTGG